TAATTTTAAAAGGAAAGAGGTTTAATTGACTCACAGTTCTGCATTTCTGGGGAGGCCTCAGGAAACTTAAAATCACGGCTGAAGGCAAAGGAGAAGCAGGCACCTTCTTTACAGGGCAGCAGGACGAAAGTGAGGGCAAGTAGGGGAAATGCCAGAGGCTTATAAAACGTCAGATCTCATGAGACTCGCTACCATGAGAACAGCATGGGGAACTTGCTCCCATCATCCAGTTACCTCCACCTGGGTCCGCCCTGGATATGTGGGGATGATGAGGATCACAATTCAAGATGAGATTCTGGGTGGGGCCACAGCCAAACCATATCACTCATGTTTACTTCTATATTTAATATTAGAAATGTTTTGGGTTTTTAGAAGTTTGATGATCATTTTTTGACCATACGTAGCTTTTGTTTATGTTAGCCTATGGCAAAATTGGTTTTGTGATAGTTTCCAAGAACCTATGGATGACATTAACTCAGGACTTTCTATGCGTAGTGTGAAGTTTTATAAGACTTAAACAGCCAGCTGCCTTTTGCCCCTCCTCTCCTCATTCATGATTCCCCCAACCCAGGTGGGAATCTTTCCCGCTTCCTACCTTTCCAGTGGTAGCCTTTGATTTTGACTCTATATTTTATAAAGATAGGAGAAATTTCCTGTACTGTTTTGTCTTGATTTTTAAGACTTAAACATTATCTAATGAATTTCTACAATGGAAGATGAGAATTTAGCTCTCATAACAACTACACACTTAACTGCCACCTCCAGCACACATTTCTTTTTAGCCTTCTATTGTAATTATATAATAGTTTTTGTCATCTGTAAATTTTAAAATCTGAGTAATGACGCCTTCAATTGTTATAAATTTTTGCATTTTTGTTGATTTTTACATCATTGGGCTCTTTTTTCTTTTGAGATGGAGTCTCGCTTTGTTGCAGGGGCTGGAGTGCAGTGGCATGATCTCAGCTCACTGCAACCTCCACCTCCCAGGTTTAAGCAATTCTCCTGCCTCAGCCTCCCGAGTAGCTGGGATTACAGGTGCCTGCCACTACACTCAGCTAATTTTTTATATTTTTAGTAGAGATGGGGTTTCACCATGTTGACCAGGCTGGAGTTGAACTCCCAACCTCGTGATTCACCCACCTCGGCCTCCCAAAGTACTGGGATTACGGGTATGAATCACTGTGCTCAGCCCCTCATTGGGCTTTTTATTTCCCCTCTTCACCTTCCCTATCCTTGCTGTGGGCTCTTTTTATTCATTTTTTAAAATTAGGGTGTTATTTATATAGAGTAAAATTAATACCTTTCAGTGTACAGTTTTGTGAGTTTGACAGGCTGTAGTTATGTACACCACCATGATCAACATACAGAACAGTTCCATAACTTCACAAAATTCCTGGCTGGATGAAGTGGGTCACGCCTGTAATCCCAACACTTGTGGGAGGCTGAGGTGGGCGGATCACCTGAGGTCAGGAATTTGAGAGCAGCCTGGCCAACATGGTGAAACCCCGTCTCTACTAAAAATATAAAAATTAGCTGGATGTGGTGGCGTGCGCCTGTAATCTCAGCTATTCAGGAGGCTGAGGCAGGAGAATCACTTGAACCCGGAAAGTGGAGATTACAGTGAGCCGAGATCTTGGCATTGCACTTCAGCCTGGGCAATAGAGTGCGACTTCATCTCAAAACAAAAAACAAAAACAATCCTTCATAGTCACCTGTAGTCAACCCTTCGTCCTACTCCCAGGCCCTGGCAATCAGTGAACAGCTTTCTGTTCCTGTAGTTTTGCCTCTGTAAGATTGTCATATAAATGGCAACATACTAGCCTTTTCAGTGTGGTTTCTTTTACTTAGAACAAGGCATTTGAGATTCGTCTAGTTGTGTATATCAGTAATTTGTTCCTTTTATTGTTTTTTGTTTTGAGATAAAGTCTCACTCGGTCACCAGGCACCAGACTGGAGTGCAGTGGCACAATCTCAGTTTACTGCAACCTCTGCCTCCCGGGTTCAAGCGGTTCTCCTGCCTCAGTCTCCCAAGTAGCTCTGACTACAGGCACGTGCCACCATGCCCAGCTAACTTTTGTATTTTAGTAGAGATGGGGTTTCACTGTTTTGGCCGGGATGGTCTTGATCTCTTGACCTCATGATCCACCCACCTCGGCCTCCCAAAGTGCTGGGATTACAAGCGTGAGCCACCGCGCCTGGCCCCCTTTTAGTGTTGAGTGGTGGTTCATTGTATGGATGTACCAGAACATTTGGACAGTTTCTAGTTTGGGGCGATTATAAATAAAATCACTATTAATATTCACATACAAGTTTTGTGTGAACATAGATTTTGCCTACACATGGGTAAATAGCAGTGGAATTTGGGTCATATGGTAAGTGTAAGTTTAATTTTGTAGAAACTCAAAACTTTTTCTAAGTGGCTGTCTCAGCAGCAGTAACCAAGACACTCCAGTTGTTCTATATCCTCTTCAGCATTTGTTACTTTTGAAAGCCATTCTAAAAGGCAGATTTGAAATTTTAGTAGGTCAATATTGAAGGTTTATGTTATTAAAACTGTGTAAACAAACCAGGCGTAATAGTTCATGACTATAATTCCAGTACTTTGGGAGGCCAAGGCAGGAGGATCACTTGAGCTCTGGAGTTCAAGACCAGCCTGTTCAACATAGACTCTATATAAAAACAAAACAAAACAAAAACAGAAAAAAATTAGGTCAGGTACAGTGGTTTATGCTTATAATCCCAGCTTCTTGAGAGATCAACAGGGGAGGATTGTTTGAGCCCAGGAGTTCGAGACCTGTCTGGACAACATTGGGAGACCGTGTCGCTTTAAAAAAAAAAAAAAAAAAAATGCTGGGTGTGGTAATTAGCTGGATGCCCTGTAATCTCAGCTACTAGAGGCTGAGGTGGAAGGGTCACTTACTTGAGCACAGGATGTGGAGGCCACAGTGAACCGTGATCATGCCACCGCACTCCAGTCTGGGCAACAGAGCAAGACCCTGTCTCAAAACAAACAAAAAATGTAAGCAGTAGTCCCATTTGAATCATGATTTTGGTTTTTCTTCTTTTTAATTTCTTTCGTTTTCACTGCATCTATTATATAATTAATTCATCCAAGTTTTCTGCCAGAAATAGAAATATCTTTGAATACGTTTAGACAGATCAGGCCATTTATCCATATGATCATTTTCATGGAGACATATCTCAGAGAGCCCTCCATCTCATCTCCTGATTCTAAGTAGACAGGGTGCCCTTGAGGTCTGCTGCCCAGCTGTCCTCCTGAGCTCTCCATTCACTCTTATGCTGGGGGCGCTTCCCTGCTTGTTATGCTGGGTCCTATGTTATCTTTTATTTCCTCTTAATTTTAGTGGAGTACAGCCTCCAGTTGCTTCCTGAGGGGTAGTCTTGAGACACTTTTGTATCCGAAAAGGTCTTAATTCATACTTGCATAGCATTTGGCTAGGTATAGAATTCTAGATTGGAAATATTTTCTCAGATTTTGAAGATCCTCATTATCTTATAGCTTCAAAGGTTGGTGTTGGAAAGTTCAATGAACATTGAATTCCTAAAGCTCAGACTTTTTGTTGATAACTCTGGAAGTTTAGGTTCTACTCTTTGTCCTCCATGTTCTGCAATTTATTGACAACAAAATCTGAGCTGGATCCCCTTCATCCATTGTCGTGAACACTTGGTGTTTCTTTCTCTGAGAAATTGTCTTGACAAAAAAGAAACTTATTTGAATCTCTCCCTGTCCCCTAGTCTGTTTTCTCTGCTGCCTCTTTCAGAAACATCCAAACAACAATTTAGCTGTTGGAGCTCCTGATCTCTTCTCTCTAAAAAAATATATATATGTGTGTGTGTGTGTGTGTGTGTGTGTTTGGATTTTCATTCCTATTACTTTCTTTTCTTTTTTTTTTTTTTTCTTTTTTTAAAGATGGGGTTTCACCATGTTGCCCAGGCTGGTCTCGAACTAGTGAGCTCAGGCAATCCACGCACCTCAGCCTCCCAAAGTGCTAGGATTACAGGCGTGAGCCACCGCGCCCGACTTTTATTTTCTATTTTTAAGGCAGAGTCTCTGTTGCCCAGGCTAGAGTACAGTGGCACAATCATAGCTCACTGCAGCCTCATACCCCCAGACTCAAGTGATCCTCCCACCTCAGCCTCCCAAGCAGCTGGAACTACAGGCGTGTACCACCACACCTGGCTAGTATTTTAATTTTTTGTAGAGACAGGGTCTTCTTTTTTTTTTTTTTTTTTTTTTTTTTTGAGACGGAGTTTCACTCATGTTGTTACCCAGGCTGGAGTGCAATGGCGCGATCTCGGCTCACCGCAACCTCCGCCTCCTGGGTTCAGGCAATTCTCCTGCCTCAGCCTCCTGAGTAGCTGGGATTACAGGCACGTGCCACCATGCCCAGCTAATTTTTTGTATTTTTAGTAGAGACGGGGTTTCACCATGTTGACCAGGATGGTCTCGATCTCTTGACCTCGTGATCCACCTGCCTCGGCCTCCCAAAGTGCTGGGATTACAGGCTTGAGCCACCGCGCCCGGCCGAGACAGGGTCTTCTTATGTTGCTCAGGCTGGTCTTGAATTCCTAGACTCAAGCAACCCTCCTGCCTTAGCCTCCCAAAATGCTGGGATTACAGGCATGAGTTACTGTACCGAGACTATATTTTTATCAATAATTAGTGGTGGTGAGGGTGTGAACATTTTATTTTAGAACCTCCTGTTCCTATTTCATGAATATAAAGTTTTATCTTTCTAAAGATACCAATTATAGATTTTTTTTTATTTTTTGAGAGTGTTTCACTCTTAATGCCCAGGCTGGAGTGCAGTGGTGCAATCTTGGTTCACTGCAACCTCCGCCTCCCAGGTTCAAGTGATTCTCCAGCCTCAGCCTCCCAAGTACCTGGGATTACAGGTGTCTGCCACCACACCCAGCTAATTTTTATATTTTTAATAGAGACGGGGTTTCTCCATGTTGGCCAGACTGGTCTCGAACTCTTGACCTCGGGTGGTCCACCAGCCTCGGCCTCCCAAAGTGCTGGGATTATAGGAGTGAACTACCATGCTTGGCCCAATTACAGATTTTTTAAGTTTAGGTTTTGACAGTAGATCTCACCTCAGCCTTTCTCTCTCTGTGTCACGCAGCCCACAGGGGAGACTGTAAGGTCAGTGTGGGGGCTAATGAATAAATGCTACATGGTGCCCACTGAGGTGGGTAAGGGCTAGGCACTTCTCTTCCCCTGGAGTGGGGTGGCTGTGCTGGGTACCCTTGGCAGACACGGTAAGGGGGACTGCACCTGGAGAGGGTGGGCCAGTTGGGGAAGGACTGCTCAGCACTCGTAACTGTGTGTCACCCCTCGCACTTCTCTCTGCAGAGACACAGGAGGGGGAAGAAGCCAGCCTCTGAGGTAAGGCTTCCCCTGGAAGGCCCTGGGCTGGGGCTCTCTCCTGTCAGAGCTCAGTTACACACAGGGCGAGGAGTCCTGGGGTAGTGGCGGGCCCCCTCCAGGAAATTCACAAGGTTACCACAGCTCAGCTGAAAAGGTAGAACTTCCCAGAACTGTGGCACCCTAGTGTGAGAACATGAGGAGGATGAGATGTTCTGACGGTGTTTTTTTTGAGATGGAGTTTTGCTCTTGTTGCCCAGGCTGGAGTGCAATGGTGTGATCTCGTCAAACTGCAACCTCCGCCACCTGGGTTCAAGCAGTTCTCCTGTCCAGCCCTCCCAAGCAGCTGGGATTGCAGGTACGCGCCACCACGCCTGGCTAAGTTTTTTGTATTTTTAGTAGAGGTGGGGTTTCTCCATGTTGGTCAGGGTGGTCTCAAACTCCTGACCTCAGGTGATCCACCCACCTGAGCCTCCCACAGTGCTGGGATTACAGGTGTGAACCACTGTACTTGGCTTCTGAGGCCTATCTGCCCATAGTCCACCCTCTTATTTCTCTTGCAGCTCATGACCCCCAGGGGGCCTGGAGGACTGAATGATGTTGCTCCCCAAGGAGGAGGCTGCCATCTTGTCTCAGGAGAGAGAGCAGGTGAAGTCCCCATGGGAGGAAGCATCTAGCCCCATTCCTGCTGAGCAAGAGGTGGCAGGGACCCCAGGCTGGGAGGTAAGGACAGCCTGAGGCTTCAGCTGGAACATCTCCAGCATGAGTCCAACTGAGCAGGCAGAGAGGCACTGCTGGAGGCTGGCTCAACCCCAAGACGAGCAGGCCAAGCTGCCATTTTAGGTGAGCGAGGACATCTGTGCAGAGCTGAGACACAACAGCCATGTGTGAACAGACTGGGTCTCATCCTGGCCTCCCCTGACTTCATGTGGACAGAGCCTGTTTCCCTGTCTGTGCAGCACAGAACCTGTCTGATCTCATTGCTAGGTCCCTCTTCTTCCTGCCAGGAAAATAAACAGGTTCCAAAGGAAGTTGCTGCGTCTCCAGCTGGTAAGACCGTGGGCCCAATGTACTAATCTCAGTGACTGCTAGGGTCACGGAGCCCCCAGCCCTTTCCCACCTTCCTGACCTGGGGAGGGGAGGGAAGCAGCCTAGGAGTCAGGTGTCTTGACCTTCCCAGGAGCCTCCCTGGGTTGGCAGGAACTCCAGGCCACTCCCCTGAGCCAGCTGCATCCTGTCCTTTCACCACAGCTGCCTGGACCTCCTGGGGCTCTCAGAGGGAGGGTTGCTCCCAGCAGGGGACTTAGAAGGCTGCTGGTTTCTACTTTGTAGAGGCCTCTGAAGAGGACAGTAATGAGTAAAGGCCCTGGGACTGGGTCCCATGCTTGTGACAGAGCTGGTTCTCGGCCTCCGACAGCCCCAAGACTCAACTGCAAAGAAAAAGTTTCCAGAAAATCCAAGAGCTGCTGCTGCTGCTGCAGGCTCAGCTGCCACCTTTCAGGGCCTCCATCTTCAGACAGACCCAGTCTGGCCTCATCCACATTCTGTGTCCCACAGCTGCAGGAACAGCACCTCCTGCCACCAAGCCCTGCCACCACAGCGGACTGTCCCTGGAGTGGCCCAAGGGGGCCCTGGCCAGCCTTCTGACTCAGTGCCAGGGGACAGACCAATGTCCCTCTTGTGCCGACAGCTGGGCCGCACCCTGGCTTGAGGGCATTTACAGAAATGCTGGCAGGAACCACCGTCTATGGTCCTTTGGCAAAGGAGGCCTCGGGTGGCTTCTCAGAGTGTCTGGTTCTCTGCTCCGGGCTGTTCCCTAAAAAGGTGTGCCCAGCCCAGCCAGTTGTGCTGAGGACAGATGGGGAGAGTGGTTCCTACCTTCTGTGGGGGCTTCGGCTCCAAATCAACAAGGGCCAAAGCCCCAGAAGGCACAGCAGAAAGACAGGACTCAGGGCACCTGAAGCAGCCTTCTCACTGGCAGAAGGAAACAGAAGCCCAGGGTAGGGGGGGGCAGGCCCAGGGTCACACTGGGTAGTGGCAGAGCCAGGACTAGGGTCAGAGTCTCTAACTCTCAGCCACCCACGCGACCACCTCCTCTGTTCACCCCAGTGCCTCATGGGTCCAAGGTTGCCCCCTGTTCCTAGGACAGGCCTGTTGCCCACAGGGCTCATGTATGGCCCTGCCTGACCCAGCCACCGGGAGGATGGCCCTAAGGTCGGAGCCCAGACAAGCGTCCTCCTCAAGCTCCAGCCTGGTCCTGAGTGGAAATTTGTCACTGTTCAGGCGTCTCGACAGCAGCATCCTTGAGGACCTGGAGAGGTGGCCAGTCCTGTGGTGAGGTGACGGAGGCTGAGGGTGATGGCTCAGTCTTGGGCTTCCATGGGTCCTTCCCAGGAATGTTCTGGCAGCTGCCGACTGAACCCTGGGAAGTAACCCCGGCACAGAGCTCCCTGACTCTCCATGATTCGTCTTTTATTTTGTGGCGTCGTATACGAAGGGAGGTCACTGTTGTGATGGCGCTGGTGGGACTGCTGCCCCGATGTAGGGTAGACTGAGTCGGGCCCGAACTGTGGGCCTCCAGGCTGAGTACTGCCCTCTCCACCACACCCAGGGCTGACCGACACCTCTAGTCAGCCCATTCTGGCCCCTTCCCTAGATGCTGGGACAATGTACAGTTTGTGTCACCAATCTGGGCAGTCAGAGATGGGTCAGTGGGGGACATGGGATAGGGGCAAGGCCAGCTGACACATGCTGAATCTCTACACAGCCCTGTCTCAAACACGGCCCGGCCAGGCCAGGCGCTGGGGAAAGCAGGAAGGAGGCAGGGGTGGGGCTGCTCTTGAGAGGCTGTGAGGCCCATCACAAAGCCTGGCAGGGGACCCAGGTTGGAACTACTACATTGCTTTATTGCACATCAGGGCCCCTGGCTAGGGAGCAGGCTGAGGACTAGCTACCCTATTCTAGCGGGGCACAGCACAAAGCTCATAAGGGGAAGGGGTCACCAGGAAAGCAAAGACACCATGAGTGCTGGGCCGGGGCTGTCCGGCGGGCACAGAGAAGCTGAAGTGCTGCAGCAGGCAGGTGAAGAAGAGGAAGAGCTCCATGCGGGCCAGGGGCTCCCCGAGGCATGCGCGGCGGCCTGTGGGTAGGGGAGGGGCCTCAGTGAGCATGGGTCCTGGGCGATACCCCTGCAAGACTCCACAGAAGGGCAGGGAGCCGGGCACCCCATAGGCACCTGCTGAGAAAGGCAGGAAGGCCTCTGGCTTCACAAAGTGGCCCTGGGCATCCAGGAAGTGTTCAGGGTGGAAGCGGAAGGGCTTTTCCCAGATGGCCTCATCCTTCAGCACTGATGACAGGCTGGCGAAGATCGCTGTCCCCTGAGTAGGAGAGGCAGGGTGAGAGTAAGGACTGGGCTCTAGGATGCTGGGACCCCTGCCACTAAACACATGGGGGACACACACTGCCTGGCACACAGCTGGACTCTACTAGTCCTGCGCCTGAGAAGCTCCTGGGCAGCCTCTCCAACCCTATAATAGGCCCCAGTCACACCTCTTAGGGGCGCCCACGCTGCCCCCTCTCCCTAGGAGCGTTGGGTCCCCCAACATTCTGGCAGGTCCTGGTCTGTATTCGCCACTAGACTGGGCTCTGGATGGACAGGCCGGCCCTGACTCTGCTCTGTACCCCACACACAGGCTGGACAGTTAGTGTGGTGGCATTAAGGACTGGCAGACCAGGGTTCCCAGACTGGGCCCACCTGGCAGTGGCCATGCTGGGGCACCCACCAGGGGCTGGTGCTGAGCTGGGTGAGGAGGACCCCAGGCCTACCTTAGGGATGAGGAAGCCCTGCACTTCAATGTCTCGGGATGTCATGTGGGGCATATTCATGGGGATGATGTCCCCAAAGCGCTGCACCTCGTGAATCACAGCAGTGGTGTAGGGCATGCGAACCTGGTCGCCCATCTCTGGTCGCCGCGCCTGCCCTATCACGTCGTCAATCTCCTGTTGGACACGGCCTGGACAGACATGTGTCCCCACAATGGGTCAGCACCCAGGGGACTGGCCCTGACGCCCTCCTTCCTGCCTCCTGTATTAGAGGAGGTCAGGCTTACAGGAGCCTGGCCAAGCCTGTGCTTGGAGCCCTTGGTGTCCCAGCTAAGCTCAGGGTACTCGCCTGTACCCTTCCTCCCTCGCTCCCTGCACTGGGTCCCAGCTGGGCTCACGCTGCACATCTGGGTGAAGGATCATGAGCAGAAGGCCCCAGGCCAGCGTGATCGAGGTGGTCACCATCCCAGCAGAGAACAGATCAGCTACCACTAGGCGCAGGTTTTCATCATTGAAGCTGCTCTCGGGGTTCCCCTTGGCCTGAGCAGGGCCAAGAGGGTACTCAGGAGACAGGTCAACCCAGGTGCTGCTCACTGGGTGATGCACCAGCCCCAGCTTTTGCCTGGCCACTCCTCATTGCTCTCTGGACCCTCAACCCACCACCCCTGCACCCCACCCTGGCAGCCGCTCCCACCTTCTCCATCTCTGCCAGGAAGGTTTCAGTCAGGTCTTGGGGTGGCTGGGCTGGGTCCCAGGTCATCCTGTGCTCGTTCAGCAGCTCATCCAGCTGGGCCAGGAAAGCCTTTTGGGAGCGTAACGCCTTGCCAGCCAGCCCGGGGATGCGCAGGAGGACAGGGATGGCATTCAGCACCTGCACCAGACACAGAACAGGGTCTGGATTCCTCCTACACTCTGCCTTCACCTGGACCAGTCTCAGGCCCCAGCCCTCTCCAGGGAAGACCCAGCGCCTGCCTGTCCCCACCACTGACCTCCCAAGTACCAGCCTCCATGCTCTCTCCTTACCTTGGGCTGGTAGAGGAGAAACCTAAAATCAAATTCTCTAATGTGGACAGGAGGCACAGGGTCCTTGGCCTCTCTTGGTGCCCCCCAATCTGGAACCCCTGACCCGCGCCCACCTCTCCCACGACCGTGTCTGAGATTTCCGCCCCTCCTCCAGGTCCTTCCTCTTGCAGTGGGTTTTCTTGGATTGTCCTTTCCCAAGCCCCTCTATGCAAACCCTGCTCCTTGGAAGCCCACTGCAGCCCGGGAATCTCTCAGGAGCTCACCCTGCAGACGCCCCCACGGTCCCTGGCTCCGCACCTCACGTAGGAAGCCGGACTCCTCCGCCAGTCCCTCCATTGTTAGGTCCAGCAGCCTGAGGAGGCGAGGGTCGTCATACTCAAAGCGGCGCCTGCAGGTGAGGGAGGCGATCACGTTGCTCACCGCTTTGTCCAGGAGGCCGCGGGGTGGAAAGGGGCGTCCTGGGGGCAGGAGATGTGGAGCAGGGCTCACTTTTCCCGTTCCCCACCTTCCCAGTTCCTGCCTTGCGTCCCTCTGCCCATCACCCACCGGAGTGGTCTGCGAAGGCAGCACAGAGGCAGGCGGCCTCCTCGGTCACCCACTGCTCCAGAGACTTCTTGCCCAGGCCCAAGTTGCGTAAGGTGGACACGGAGAAGCGCCTCTGCTCGCGCCAGGCGGGGCCGTAGCGTGCCAGGAACACCCCTGGGGACCAGAGGGACATGTGAGCGTGGGCGTGAAGGCCTTGGCCCTGCCCTGCACCGCCTACTCCAACCTTGCACTCCGTTTAGTCTCCCGCACTGCCTTGCCCCGTCCAGCTGGGCACAGGATCTGCTCTGCTTACCCACCTTGCTTGCCTGCACTCCCCTGCATGGGGCAGGGCTTGACTCCCTACTTGGCTCTGCCTACCCTGACCGCCTTTCCACTCAGGGAAGATCCCGCCGGCCTGGCCCCACCCGCACTGAGCCCGCAGTACATCGGCCCCCCAGACACCCACTTCAGCTGGGAAAGGCGCCAGCCCCGCCCACCTGGCTCCAGGCGGTTCTGGCAGTGGCCCCGCCCACACGCTCGCACCTCCCCAGATCAGGTGGTGTCCCCGCTGTCCCCAGCCCACTCGCTGGCCTTTCTGTGTTTCACATCCACAACCCCGAGCCCTCTCGGCCCAGCTCGGCCTACAGTTACCACCCACCCAAGTCCCGTGGAAACGCAGTCTGCGTCCCCACCGCCACTTGCCTTGGGAGCGCGGCCCGTAGCCCAGGACCTGGTAGATGGGCACAGGCGGCCGATCGGCGGTGTCCTCGCCGCGGGTCACCAGCGCCTCACGCACGGCCTCCAGCCCGTTGAGTACGACCACCGGTGTCCAGGCCAGCTGCAGGCTGAACACGTCCCCAAAGCGGCGCCGCAGCTGCAAAGGGAGGGTCAGGGCCTTCGTGAAGCCAGGGTCTCCCCAGACTGCAGGTCCTAGTCCCAAGTGAACCTTGGGCCAAGCTTGGGGCTACCAGGAGTGAGCAGGTGGAAGAAGGAGACCCAGTCTCCTGATCCTAGGGCAGAGATGGGGGGGTCACAACTTCTATAACAGAGGAACTCAGTTTAGATATCACCTGAGTATGACCTTGCAAGAGTCACCGAAATTACAGATAGGCCCCAGTTAGCATCCCATTTCACAGATGATGGTCCATGCCGGTGAGCAGTGAGGCCAGGGAATGCAGAGTGCAAAAGGCTCGTACCGGGTCACTGCACCCCCTTCATCCTTGAATCCTGATTTAAACGGCACTCAGGACCCTGACTCCTCTCCTACTCCCAAGGCCTTTCCTTCCAGTGTCAGCAGAGGGGACTTTGTGCTCGAGTCTATGTTTCTCAGCGGGCTTGTACAACCACTGCAAAGTCCAGCCCCACCTGCAGGCCCTTGCCCTGCTCTTCCTTGGCATTTGGAAACTCTAATCCTTCAGGCTGTGTACAAATACCCTCCCCCAGGAAGTCCCCCAAACCTACTTCCCCTTCGCAGCCTGGCTTCTGGTCCAGCCTGCAGTTTCACCCACCACCCGTGTTTGCTGCTGGTAGGGGGTGCTCAGGACCTCTGCCGCCCTCCAGGACCTCCTCCCTCACCTGGTTGAAGCTGTTTGGTGTGTTCTGGAAGTCCACATGCAGCAGGTTGCCCAGCCCGGGCAGTGGCATAGGGCCAGGCGGGTAGCGTGCAGCCCAGCGTTGGCGACGGTGCATCAGGTCCACCAGGAGCAGGAAGATGGCCACTGTCAGGGCCAGGGGCACCAGTGCATCCAGCCCCATGGCTGCCTTGCTGCCCACTGAGCTCTCTGGACACACTTGGCACCCCCACCCCACCAGGCACAGAGGACCAGACAGGACACTCTCAGCACACCGAGTGTGTGACTGTTCCCTTATAAAGGGAGCTGATGATGGCCTTTGCCCTCTGCTGTGAGCCAATCTACTGTGTTGACTGTGCTGCCAGTGGGTTCAGGGTCAGGCCAGGGCAGGTAGGGGCCGCACCAAAGGTCCTTGTCCCAGCTGTTTACCCAGGGTAGGGTGGTAGAGGAGAAGTCACTCCCTTTCCCAACTCTCCAAGCCCTCACAGGCTTCTGGGATAACCAGGGTCTCAGTGGATCCTGCCATCCGCCTCCCTGCTAGGCTCACGTGCCCTTTTGTGGTCACAACCCCTCCTCCAGAACATAATCTTGCCCTTTCCTCACCCCACCTGCCCGTTCCAGAGTGGCCTTCACCACCCTTGTCTGTCACTGGCACTCACCTGGGGCCTTGGGAGTTCATGATGATCAGAGGCGCACGGGCCTGGTCTCTTCACTTCACCCTGCACTCTTGACATGCATAGACGCTATGCACACGCCTGATGCTGCACACACCTCTTCTACACTCCCAGACTCTTGTCCCCTTGTTCACATGTGCAGGGACATATTCACATACCCACAAAACCACCCACACACAGACAATGCTCACATGCACAGACTCACACTCAGAGCACATGCATTCTCTCACACCACATACACACACACCCCCTCAGCACCAAGTAGCCTGCTTCTCAGCCATGCCTGACCTCTCCTGTCCAGAGGCTGCTCCCAGTAAAGCTCAAGGCTGTCACCTGGCTCCCAGCCCAGCCCACATTCCTGGACTCCAGCCTGGCCACGACCTCTTGCTTGCAACAGGGCTGTTCCCAGAATTCCCAGTTGGTATCCTGAAGGCCCTTGCCCCAGCCTCTGACAACATCCTCCAGTGGCTTCCTGAGGGCCGCTGTCCTCCACTGCTTTCTGGCCTCCATGTCTCTCAATAGAAATCTGGTGGTAACATACACAAAAAATTACCCGGTCGTGGTGGCACGCACCTGTAGTCCCACCTACTTGGGAGGCAGAGGCAGAAGAATCACTTGAACCCAGGAGGCAGAGGTTGCGGTGAGCCAAGATCGGGCCATTGCACTCCAGTCTGGGCAACAAG